TTGGTTGTTTTTGATTTAATAAAAGGTTATGTGACCTTGTAGCAATACTTGCTGGCCTACCCTTATATGTACCTATTTATTGATCTGTGCAGGTGTATGTTTATATGCATACATGGGCTCATGATCCACTCACTCACATACTGTTAACTCCTAGGCATGTGTGTGCCTGTTCAGACAAAGGCAATTTGTCACTAACGTCTTCGGTATGGCCCCACTTCTGACTTAAAAGTGTCAAGAAGGAACCATAGGTATTCAAGTGGCTTTGGTTTCCCTGGGGCATCCTGTGGTCCCATATTTGATGTTAATTTAAATGAACTGAAATGGAGCATGAGATCAGGGCAGGCTGACTGCCGATTCCATCTCCACTCCCAGCTGGGTCACAAATGGAGCCTGGAAATTCATCTCTCCTGCTCCCCAGGCCGGGACTAAGGTCTCTTTCCATTACCCTTTGTTGGCAGCTGGGCCACTGCTTTCCAGGCCGCCGCCTTGTTTCCTGACAATGGGTTCAGCAGCAATCATTAGGCAAGTGCACTATCTGGGGTCCCCTGCTGTACGTACTCACCCGAAGCTCAAAGCAGCACACTTCACTACCATCTCTCTGTCAGAAATATTCTGTATCTCCCTCTAAAGGACTCTTTCAAGTGACACGTTTCCAGCTGCTGCCATGATTTAGCTGTTAATGTGGCTGGAGGCTCTGGAGGAGCCATCGGGCTCGGGGGCTGTGCTATCCTGAGCACAAACGCACCTGAAAACCTTCAGGACCATGGACAACACTTCCATAAACAACCTTCTCAAAGTCCACAGTCATTGGGGGCCCCCTGATGCTTAGTTAATATGCAATCAAACCAGAGTTTTCGGGGTTTTTTGTCGATCTTTGTGCTGGCAAACTATAAACTTAGATGTTCTTACTGAGTGCTACAGAAAAATGATCATCTGAGTTTAACAGTCTGATAGTTAGCTCCCTGCGCTCCAGACTCAAAGCCTTTTCTCTTGCTATTGCAAGGGACACCCTGAGCAGCTTACAGACATGGTAGCCAGCATGTCATGTTCTAGTGTTTGCACCTATGGGAGTCATTAACAAAGGGAGTTCCAGGGTCCCTCACCAACGAATGCATCTATGCTTTTCCACGGGTGAGTGCCAGCGTCATCTTTCAAAATGCAAACCCGATCACATCAAACTCTGCTGAAAGCTCTTCAGCGAGGTCTCATCGTTGCGAGAATGAAAATGAAAATTGATGTTGCTTGCTATTGATTCTGCACTGATAGAACACAAGCTTGCCTGGTCTCATGCGAAGCGCATGATCCTTGGCATGCCTGAGTCCATTTCTGGTGGCTACTGTGTTAATCAGGCAGACCTGCCTCATCTTCCTGCTGCATTCTCCCCCTTGACCCCACCCCCGACAGACCACGTGGCTCAGTAGTCCTCACTCGCAATGCTCCTTCCTGTGAGTGTTTCTTTCTTAGTTGCTGTTCCTCTCCTAGATAATCTCTCTTCCACCCTTGCCCTAACTAACCAGTCATTCGCAGTCATACTACACCTTCTACACCTCTACACCAGGGCAATCCCCTCCAAAGACTCTTTCACAGTACCTTCACTGGGCCCATGCCAGTGGGGGATGGGATGGGTCTTCGATTGGGTCCACTGTAGTTCACTGGACCCATGAGTTTTCATTGGACCCAAGTCCATGTTTATTTGTGTAATTCTGCCCTTCCATTTGCCTAGTAGGTGAAGAAACCAATCCCAGAGCCATCAAGTTGACTCCCACTCATGGGTTTCTGAGGTTGTAAACCTTAACCAGAGCAGG